AGCACTATTGTAAAAATTTCGTACTAAAAACATTTATTAAAAATAAAGTTATAGTTTAAAAATACATATTGTAGTAACATAGTGAAAAAGTAAAAAATGTTTTACTATTCGCCTTCAGGCTATTTAGATTGTGACTATTTAATTCGTTAAAATGAACCATATACACTTAAACTAAATTAAATTAAATTTTTTAACCCTCGGTTTAAATTAAAAAGCTAGTTTTTATGCGATACGTCAATTATAAGTTTAATACTTCTGATTGTGTATCGTATCGCAGTCACTTCCATGATTAGTTTGTATAGTTAATTAGTTACAAGTTCAGTTTTCATGTTAATAAATATGTATTTATTCGCCGTTACAACGGCTGCAATTAGCGGCAAATATCTACAATTTATAATTTTTCGTACTACTGATTCCAAAATACGGATAAATACACTGAGCTACAATACGTTTTGTACCTCTATGTTGAGTTGTTGATCAAACGTTGCACACATATTTTCAGAAGTGAAGGTCATTATTGTTAGTGCTGCTCAAAAAAAGAAATGTAATGTCTTTGTATATACATATATGTATATAGGGGGTCTTATATGAGTGGAAATGATTTTTTTATTTCGAAATGCATACATACCCCTATTTCTTTTTAAACTATTCATACTTACTTAAAATGTATCTTCCTACTTCTTACTGTTTCAATCAAATCAATTGAAATTAATTTAAATTTTATAAAATATTTATTAAAAGAAGAGAAATTACAGATCATGCAGGATATCTATGCTCCTGAACACAGCAAAGCAAAAATTGCTTTTGCTCTTCCTTTGCAGTGATCAAACCATGAAAATCTTACATAAGCTTTATAGCTCCTTCAGCTGTATCATTAACTGCTCTTAAAGAAAGCACTTTTCTTTTTGCCTCTAAATAGGCAACATCTTTATCAACTGTAGAAACGGATCTCTGAAGGAAATTCCTATCAATTTTCAATCTAGAAAATAAATTGTGCTCTTGACAGACACAAAATTACTTAATGATTTTCCTACAAAAATAAATAAGGCAGTATCATTATTAATTTATTGAAAACATCATAAAAATAGTACTATGTACTGTATTCCTATTTACCACACAAATAATCAGACATACGTTCTTCAGATCGAATGTATCTCTTCCCAGAATTATAAAAACTCTCTCTCATTGTAAGTTTACTACAATGTTCGTCATGGTTTGTTCATTAAATTCATCATCCAAGAGTGATAAAACAGCTATTTCTTCTGACAAGTACCAAAGATGTTGACTAAACTCGCTCAGGGCTGCTTTGGAGGTCAATTTGTAAACAGTTTCACATTCTTTAAGCTTCTTTAAAAAGCACAAATCTTGATTTGGTGCCTTCACCATCAGACTACATCCAAGGTTTCACATATATAATCGCGATAAATATACAGACGTCTTGAAGTCGAGCACTTCAAGACGTTTGTCGTTTATCCTTGACGCTATTTTTTTACTGGGATTGCAACAAACATATCTTTAAAGAGTAAATACCTCTAGCCATCCACCTTGCTTGATGCATCGCTCCAGGAGGTCTAATTTTAATTTTTTTTCATTGTCTCCTCCTAAGAAAATAGTGTATAGTTCAATCGTCACGTACCAATGTTTTTTTGCAGTTCTTGATTATAAAATGTCCACAAACCTTCTTTTTTTGTATTACAAAAATGTCGTGTGACGATATCGGTATGTTTTATTGACATCAGGATTAGTAGTTTTCCAGTTGTCTCTAAACTTTTTGAACTGCGGGATATCAAGGCTACTTGTGACTTGGTGAATTTTTCTTTTGAATACACATTTTATAACTAGTTCGTAAACGTGATGGCGGCAAGCAGAGAGTAGTAATTCCCTGTGTAGTTTTTGTTCCAAAAGTACACAAGCTCCTTTCATTCGCCCTGTATTAGACGTCCGATGCCTAGTTGTGTCATAGAACATTATTTGTACTTTTTCATCGAGGTTCCAGACATTAAGTGCGTTCAACATAGCTTTAGCTGGATCCTGACCGGAAGAGCTCTCCACTTTGGGTATAGCCAGAAGTTGTTCCTTTCGCCAAATGAAATTAGAATTAGCAGAATTAGAATTAGAATCTTTAGAACTTCTCACGTCAAGTCTAAGTAATAATTTCCCATCCCAGTGAACCATTAACCATTACAGGCATATTATTCTGAAAATCTGATTTTATATATTCCGCTTTATCTTTTCGACTCTGTGTGCGAATGCGTTCAATGGACGATTTGTTTATCGAAAATCATCACAGCTAAGATCTAGTGCTTCTACTACAGCCTGAGGTACATAGACAGCACCCCTCATGCTTAACTAACTTAGGCGTGATAAAGTCTTTTCTTTCCCTATTTGTAGTAGTTTCAAAACTTACCATTTGGGAGGTGGAGGGCAAGGCTTTCATCAGAGCTGGTAAGTTGCGTAGTAAGAGATGACGATAAACCTCTGAAACACATTTGCTCATATCTTTTTTTCTCTTCATCCGTTCTAAAGCATCACCGTGTGCTATATCAAATAAATTATCTATACTGTTTTCAAAGTCCTCCTCACTTGTAAACATCTTGTATTTTTTTAAAATTATATTGCAACTCCCTCCAAGCATGGTGAAGATCAACAAGCTTTTTTACACAGTTTGGTATAGCTCTGGTAGGGATTCCAGCTTTTTCAAATAGGTTTTTCCGAATAAGGTAAAAGGTAAAACAAGGGATACGCTAATGTATATACATAGTATATCAATAATAATTACCTCGAATGATCGATCGATGATGATGTCGATTGGAGTTGTATTCATATTTTTCTAAACTAGTTATTTGTTTTCATATCCCTTTTACATAATCAGTAACTTGAATAAACTATACGTATACTGGCATAAGTGACATCTGTACTTTATAAAATGTAAACATAGTGTTAAAGAATAAAGGAGCACCATTTGAACAATTTCTCTCTACAATATAAATACGAAAACCTGATATACGAGTAGGTACATGTACATGGATTTGCGCTGTAAAAAATGATAATGTTACCTTCAGCGTCACTGTTACTAAAATATTGACAAAAATGAATGTTTATTCTTGAAATCTGTAAACTCTAAGAAGACGACAATATTGTTTTATGATTTTATAAGTCGCTGGTAGATGACAATACTGTGTTTATTATAAAAATACACGACGTACGAACGTCGCTATTGATGAATTTATTTTGAGTAAAACAAATAATATAATACTACATGACTAAAATCAATAGCACTATTTAAAAAGTACCTTGTACATAGCTAACGTTTTATTCTCTAGGTTCTTCTACGTCCGAGCGTCCCTTTTGTTAATGCGTTGTGCTTAAATTGAATTTTATTGCATACGGATTTATGTTGGTTTTATAGCAGGCCGTAAAAGTCGGTTCTAACAGATTTATTAAAATAATCTCGGTTTAGTTATCGCATGGATATTACACGAACCTTTTAATGTCAAATTAAACACAATTTCGGACGGTAGTTGAAACAAGATCACCTAACAAGTCAACCGAAATAAGTCTTAAAGTTGGTCTTAACAGAGTCAGAAAAATCATGTAGTAATAAATAATTCTAAAACGTTTCTCGGTGTTGAAGATCAGGTCGTTAGCTTTAGTTAATAATTTTCTTCCTAAGTAAGAATTACTGACTTTGTGTATTTAATAACCGTTGTGATGATATGTGTAGATGTATCCTTTGTTACTCATATTCTTTTTATAGAGCAGTTTCTACTGCAGACATGTTATTCGTCAGTCAAAAAGAACTTGAGCAGTATTTGTGTTGATAACATTACCTGATCGTTACTTACTTTGTCTATAATGAGAATTTTTTTTGTTCTTTTTTTTCCGTGCGGAAATCCCCTCGGATACCACCTATCGGTGGCATGTCGGACTCGAACCGACTAAAACCGCACGCCGTCTCGGGTACTAATAGCCGGGGAACCAGGTATACCCTAGAAAGGAAGTCCCTGGTGCGGTCTATAATGAGCCTAAGAACAATTGAACGATTGTAATAGTAATAACTCAAAGTACATAAATGTATATAAAAGTAATAATCATGAAAGGAAACACAAATATACACATAATTTACTCGAAAACATTAAATACAAAAACGAAAATGATCTAAGAAAAGTGTTCGAGAGAAACATTAAAACGGATCTCATAAAAGTAAATAACTTCTTTTGTGTGCCTTGTACCTTTGCCTCACGCCACCTCGTACTTTTCTTTAGGGTATTATGTGTGTGAGGTTATGACCCACATTATATCCATTAGGTATACAATAAATATTACGTATATATGTACCTGTTCAAGAATAGAAGGGGAGGCCTTCTGTTCAGGGATATTAAAGGCAAATATGATGACGCCACTTATAGCTGTAGGTAAAAGTTGTACAAATAAACTTGATATTTTACAATAGTAAATATATTGAATTTAGTAATTTTAAGGGTTGAAAATTAAAAACTATATTTAAAGGTATAAAAAAGTACATGAGGTAATATAACAGTGAGTGTGCCGTGCCTATTTCGATAGTTGTTTATTTAGACTTTTTTATTTTTATATTTTTGATAGAACGGAAGAGAACTGGTACTCTTCCATCACGCAGAAGACGCAACAAGCGCTGGAAAGTGTAAAACGACCTCCGGTCCAAAACACTTCATGTTTGCAGCTGAATTAATTTGAATTTAAAAAAATTTTTTTTAGAGCGGGATTTCTTTTTTTGGTAGCTCTATCTCTGTACTACATGTTTTTAATTGATGATGTCATTTGCTTACGCTAATGTTAGCGTATTAGAAATCAAAGAATTATAAATAAAAAATCATATATTAATGTCTACGATGGTCCATTACATATTTAATATGCGTTTTAAATACTTTGGTTCTTCCTCCTCTAAAGAAAACTACTAAGAAAACAATACAAATCTTAGTTTAACAATATCTAAAGTTAATTTTAGTTATAAGTTTTGACTACGTACCATTGTGCTGACGGACACCGGAGCGGGCAAAGTTCACCACATCACATGCCAACTTGGCACTACCGAATTTAGTGCTGTGGAACTCGATGGAGTGTTTATGTCTGAAACAAAAGTATGTTTAATTCAACGTAGGTACATAATCTCATCAAAAGATACAATTAGGAAATCAAACATATAGCAGTATGTAGTATCTAATATGAACAAAATTCTCGTAATACCTAATTATTATTTTTTACATGCTCTGACCAGGCTAGGTGATGAAGTCTGAAAAACCGCGACCTTTCGATAAAAAGTATCTTTATCGAAAGGTCGCGGTGTAAATTAAACCACAGATTCTACCAGCGAATAGGTAATACTATATAATATTGAAATATTAGTAATATTTTTATTTATTGCCACAACTAATTACGGTACTTACATAGGTTTTATAATTGGGTTAGTATTCTATCAGTCAATCTGGCTTTCATAGTACAAGTGTGATAATATTAGCTGTGATGGAACTAAACGCATTGAACCATCCGAACGGTGAATGAAAAGATACGACTCGGTCAGTTCCCGCTTCATTTTTTACTCTCGAGGCGGTATGACTCTGATGAAAATAAAATGTGTAATCCTTTGAATTTCATAAAATAGAAACTAAATACGAACTATATAACAAGTGTGCTATTCCCCGAACTTGAGACCCGTCCACCTACTAAGAATAAAATACTTAACTTGAAGAGTATATAAACGTATACTGCAGAGTTTAAGCGTACTTGACCTACCGAAATCACCTAATTCTGCTACAATGCCGGATTACCAGAATTCCTACGGATGACCTGGATTTTGCGTACCATAACCACAAGATTCAACCAAAAAGGGAAGTGGTGTTGATAGGATCTACGAAAATAAACTCAACATATTATTCGAACCCTATTCTACCCTCAGTAAAAATAGAAAAAGTGAAAGCATATATAGAGTTTTTTTTTATATTTTACTACGCCTCTTTAAATTCAGGGTATCCAGCGACACAAGCTCTGTTTAGTTTGAAATTAGAAGCCTTGTGTGTCACATGTCCGAAATATCATTATTATTATTTTAATTATAGGTCTAAAAGTAAGGTTGTGAAACTTGTTTCTTAAACGAGGCAAAGCCTGTGTCTTAAGAGGCACTATTCGACGAAGATTTCATTTCCTTGTTTGAGTACTAAAACTACCTGGACACATACATTAGAATTCTGAACTGAAATATAATTTATACTACTCATAGGAACCCGCATTGTGCTCAAGCATTGTGTATTTACTTATGTACAGCTCCTCCCATTTGTATTAAGAGCATATTTATGATTACAACCCACTGCGACCCATTTAAGCGAAACCTTCTAGCATCCTTAATGTTTCTTATTTTATGGCTGAGTAATGTTTTTGCTAAGTGAAGTAATTTATTTGTTCGGTCCATATAGCCGTTGGCAAGATATAAAAATCGAATAAATCAACTCAAAGGAATAATGGAGATGAGAGAGATAACACCGAGGTATATTTTAATAAAGTTGGAAGTAAGTGAGCATTTTAAATAGAATATATTCTATTTGGGACACACTGTTTGGAATATAAATTACATAATTCGTTTCGCGACATCCTGGCGACAAAGAACGCAATTCAATTTATTAATTGTAGAAAATTAAAAGGCAGTAATTTGGGTCGTTTTGTTTGATGTACGGCCACATCGCAGCCATGCTGGGGAGAGATACAAGAGCCTACCAATTACACTCCACAGGGGACTGAATAACGAACTGAAATTATTTTCCTCGAGCTCGCCTTTTGCTTGAAACCTTTACTAATTGCTTACCTACATATGTATGTATGGAAAACATGAGGAAAAATGTATGTAGACTCTTAATTTATTTGGGTGGTGTAATGTATCCATGATGCCCCTAATAGCGTTAAACATTTTTGACTGAGCAGAAAACATGTTTCTGGTCAAATTAGAGAGAATTGATTGACGCTTGCTTTTTTTTCCCGTGTGGAGATCTCCTCAGATACCACCCCCCAGTGGGGTGGTTATGTCAGACTCGAATTGACCAAAAACCGCACGCTGTCTCGAATACCAGTAGCCGCGGAACCAGCTGTACCCTGGAAAGGAAATCCTTGGTACTCCGGCGTACCTCGGGCCGTCTATGGTTTACCCCGATTTCCCCTTCCAGTGCACTCCGCAACGCGTCGCGCCTCCACCCCGGCCTGCTTCTGCTAGTGCGACAGATGGCCTCAACTGCCCCCAAGCCTGCGTTAATGGAGGACGGAGGTCGTTTTGCGATCGGGGTTCTTGCGGATCAGACACAGGTGATCTCCGAAGCATCCTTACCCGGTGATCATCTGCCTCACCCGGCATGAAAGGGTACTGTGTTGCCCCTCGAGCCAATCCTCCATAACGGGCCTTACCGCCTCAAATACACAGTCTCTCAACTCTAGTCTACTGAACAAATGTTGACAAAAGATGTTTTGTTTAAGATAGCCTCGAAGAAGTCATTTATGTTAGTAACTTAAACCATTGTAAACGAAACGTCAAAATTATTAATTAACTGATTACGAGAGTGAAATGTCACAATAACATAGTGGCATTATGATAGTGCCCCCATTATTTGTCAGAATGATATTAGTATTAGTCCAATGTTTTAATGAGATATATTTTTTTTTTTCAAAACTTAGTTGATTTATTTTTCTTAATCATTTGTTTATAAGTTTTTAGGTAATCTGTTATACAGTAACCCTCTTATCGATTTTGAGATATTTATTCAAGCGTTGCTTCAGTATGTTGCCATTTATCGTGAATTTTTATTGTTCGCAAATATCCATTTGAATCGTATTCACCAACGTAGGGTAATACAAACATGAACATCAGGCATAGCTTAATTTTTCGTACGATATTTTGATTAAGTAATTCATTGTGAACAGTCCAATATTTCTGTATACAAAAAAGGAAGAGACAATTAAAGAACAATTATAAATGACGTTCACTGGACTTAGGCCTCTCCTCAGAAAGGAGGTTTTGGCCTACTATACCACGCTGGCCAGATGGGTTGGTAAAGGGTTTCTTTCAAGACGACGTGCGCGAGTGGTGCGAAGCCGCTTGCCGAGCCACGATGGCTCGTTGGTCGTTCCGGCTGGAGACTCCACGCGCTGGCTTCGCCGCCGTGGAGGCTGTCCAGCCGGTCATCTCCGAGTGGGCAGGGCGGCAGCACGGGACCCTTACCTTCCGGCTGACGCAGGTGCTTTCCGGGCACGGTTGCTTCGGAAAGTACCTGCACTCGGTCGCTAGGAGGGAACTGAGTCCCGCCTGCCACCACTGCGACTGCAGTGAGGACTCGGCCCAGCACACGCTGGCGGTCTGCCCCGCATGGGCGACGCAGCGCCGGGCCCTCACTGCAGTCATCGGAGTGGATCTCTCGCTACCGGCCGTAGTACGCTCCATGGCCGGTAGCGACAGTTGTTTTACCGCGGTCGCAACCTTCTGCGACGAAGTAATCTCGCAGAAGGAGGCGGCGGAGAAGGCCCGGGAGGACGACCTCCACTCGGACCCGATGCGCCGCCGGCGAACCGGGCGGCGGAGGCGCGCCTATCACCGCCTCATGCCGCCCTGAGTGTGGTCGCGGGTGGACGTGGTGGGTTTCCCCTCCACCCGCATTAGTTTGGCCAGCCGTGAGGGGGCGGCGTCTAAAGAGAGGAAAATTTTAAGACGGGGCCCACAACAGGAGCGGGCCGGCGCTAGGAGGGGTCCGGATGTCTTAATAGCAGCTGTTCCCGGATCCCTCCTACTACAGGCGCAGAGTGGCACACCGTGTGGTTTTAGTCGGTACGAGTCCGACACACCACCCCGCCGCAAACCCCGGTGGGGTGACGGTCCGAGGGGATTACCACACGTAAAAAAAAAAGGGTTTCTTTCAAGTTATCCTTCTCTTCACAGTGCTGTTATCCTGTGTAGTTTACTTCCTCAGTCGGCTCTTACGACACCCACGGGTCCGTCTATCTATTTACTTATAATAATACAACTAATCAAATTGTTAATGCAGCTGCAACTAGCTTCTAAGAAGAAATATTTTCACTAATGTGATTATATTGGTTTGCTTTGGGTATATCTGAAAAGAACGAATGTTTTACCAATAAAGCCAATAAATGATACTTTTATAAACTTATTGAGTCACTTAAAAACCAGGAATTGTCAAATATAAAAAAGTTTTAATGTGTATTTTCATTCTGAAATGACAGAATTTATTTACTTTTAATAGGTTGTTGTAAGTGGAAATATGTAAATAAAGAAAGTTTGTGTCGTTGAACATTCGGATATTACAAAGTTTGAAGGCGACAACGCGAACGTCTCGCACAACTTATCAACAACTTTTATTGTGATTTTATTCAGACGAATGAGGAGCTAAAGGAAATCCCTCTGTAACACCAACTAAGTAGCTAAGTTAGAGTTGCTTGTTTACTTCTTCTCTATTTATTGTAGACAAGTTTACTTTGCCAATTCTGTTTCGTCTCTCCTGAGAAACTTGTTGAATAAATTTGGTAGCACTTTAAAAAGGAAGACTGTATGTTGAAAGTAGTCTCCTGTAAAGTTTAGCTAACCTTAGTAATGTTATAAATGTGAATGTGAGTTTGTTTGTTTATTTACAAGGCTTTCACGTCCTAACTGTTTAACCAACTATGAAATTTTGCGTACACGTTGTTAAGAATTTAGAAACCATCATCCAGATAAGTACCGCTCTCGAAAGATATTGAATAAACTAATAATTAATAATATTAATTAATTAATAATAATTAATCCATATATGAAATCGCAGACAAATTGCAGGCTAGTAACGATTGTACAGACTACCGAACAATACAATAAGATTTCTAATAGTTTATTACGAAAAAAACGTTGTCCATGAAATATTATATTTATTTTATTTTCTAATGATATCTATAAACATTCTTGTTGTAATATAAATATTGGAGGAGAGTTCTTCAAATAAATTCAAATCAAATATTTACCATCTACCTAGTTAAAAGATAAAACACACCCACAATTTTAAGAAGAAAATATGAAAACGCAACTTTTCTTTGCCGTAATGTTATTTTATTTAAGCTCTCGGCAAACCTGTCGAATCATAGGTAATGGAAAGAAAACATTATATGAGTATAACTTTTAGTCGAGGGCCAGTTGAGGGAAAATATTTGTGCAGGATAAAGAAGAGCAATTGATTAACCTTACTATGATAAATTAAAAACATTCACTATACATCACATAAATATGACGTAGCGATTAAGTCAATCATCATGCCTACTCACTTCTCTCTCTATTTTTAGTAAGACCGACTTAACGCAAACACTAATTAAACAAGGCACTGTTGCATGTTTTTGGTTATTATAACTAGTTATAAGTTTATACACGAAGACGTCTACGGTGCTGAGACGGGGAAATTAGAGTAAGAAGTGGGTCAAAGTCGAGCTGGGGTCGTCGGCCTGCGGCGGCGTGTCGAGCGTCTATTAATTACGTCACGAGGACGGCGTGACGACATTGTGCTCAACAATAGTTCGTTTGTCTGCATATTGCACTGGATTAGTTTCATAAATGTAAGTTATCTCGCTGTCAAACGTACAACATTAAGACCGCGTTTGTGTCTCCAAAGTTGCGTTCATGGGAGGCGGTACTCACTTTCCATCAGTTGACCCGTCTGCTCGTAAGTCCCCTCTTCCATACAAAAAAAAACATCATTCATTCATTCCTTAAAGTATATTTCTGTCTGAAGCAAGAACAGTAAATTCTACTACATAAAGTCTTGCTAGACTAATAAAAAATAGTTTTGTAGATTGAAAATACTGGCAACAACTGCTTAGCTTTTCCAATTTAGGTCTGTATACCCTCTAAGTGAAAAGGTTTTATGCATCTATTATTCATCAAATTTAAAAGTAAATAATCCTATTGTATTCTGCCGATAGCCTTTTCAGGTTTTGTACTTTTACAGAGAATTGGTAAATATTAAAAAAAAACAGTAATTATTTTTATGAAGAAATCCCGGTTTTATGTTTGCGCTCAAACATATTAATTTACACTTACCTTTATTTTGCTTTCCAGTTAGTAAAGTAAGCAATGAGCAAATATTAAATCCCGAAATGACTCCCAGACAGCAAGATAACAGAAGTAAATTTAGAAAAACTTTGTACATATTCCATTACCTACTTTTTTGTCTATTGTAGTTTGTTAGTCGTTGGCCGGCTTGAAACCAATTGTATATCATACCAAGTTCAGGTGCATATTTAGTTACTAGATTTTTTTTATTTTTTTGGTTACTTTTGTTATTTTATTTTAAAATCGAACCCCACTTTGCACCTGCCTGGTCGGATAATTTTTGTACAGAATTGATATTGAAAGTGCGTAACCTTCATATATTACAATTTTATTTTCCGCTACGCTGATTTTAAATTTTAATCAATTTTTTACGTCTTATATTATACTCACGGAGAGGTCGACTCTATGAGATTGCACTTCAGTAACGTTTCACACTCGTATCCATTCTCCACCTCCAGCAACTCGATGAAGCCTGTGAAATAATGTTTGATAAAATCGATTGTAATCAAATTAATAACGACAATTCTATTGACTCGTAAATCCATTAAATTTAAATCATCAAACAAAGCCGAGTTGATCCACTGTGAGTGTTTCATTAAGTTAATTCAATTCGAGTAGGGAGTATTACACCACTCGGATTACTTGACTTGTGTACGTAGGATAACAGTGCACATCAGCGGAATACTTGATGGGCGGATGTAGATATGTGTTTGCGCCACACCTATTTATGTCTATTAAATCAACGGCTACTTCCGTATGGCACCAGATCCCATTTATATTTTCGGGCGTGCGCAATAAAATCAATACTGTGAACTTTCCACGAGTACAGTGACCTAGTCATGCGCTCCATCTGAATAAGGCCACACTGTGCATAAAGTATTTGTGAGGTAAAACAATACACAACAGTATCATGACAAAGACCAATTAGAGCCGTTACAGGTTTGCACTTCGTCAAAAGCGTTCACGCGTATCTCATTTGAATGTCACAGGTACACAAGTAAATAAGTCCCTTGTCACGGATGTAATTATTCTGAAGTCCTTGTCTTGCAAGGTTTTGCTTTAAAGTGGTACATATACTGTGAAAGGACAGTGCGAAATCCTAAGCTAACAACTAAGGGATTTTAGATATAGAGGTCTGAGGTCCGATCTTTACGGTCCAGTCCACTGTCCAGTCACCTTTATTATTTTGTATGTTTGTGTACTCTATTCTGCCTACTTAGCATATTAAAATTCGAATTTTAATAGTTTCACATATCAAAGTTAACTGCAAACAAAAAATAAATAATACTAAACGATTAACAATATTAATAAGGATTAATAACATTGGTAAAATATTATATTTAAACTGTATTAAATTTCGACTGTCTCTATCTGACGAAGAAAGTTTTATTTATTTATTTATATAACATATGTAATACATATATTTTTTATACTCAAAGTCTGCCAACAACAAGTCTGTCTGTTAGACGATAGTAGTTATCGTTTAAGGATACATAATAATATAAAAGTATGTATATAATATAAATTTGTTAATAAATTAAATTATTGAGTCAAGTATATTAGGAGACAATATCTACAAAGTAAAGAAAAAGCAATGCGTATATTAGCTATTAGTTATGGACATAACGAGAAGTAATGTTTATTTAACAATGGGTTGAAACATGGTTATCTACGGCTATCGAAGAAAATTATGTGATGTGGAAAATCTTTTTCAAATAACCTCAACTTTTTTTTTATCTTTCCATGTTTTATCCCCTTTTTTTGTAAACCTGACATTTCAAAGTTTACTATTTACTTAAATTGTTACTGTAATCAACTATAAAAGTCAATATTTTTATTTTTATCAATTACAGCATACCTGAGAACTAAAAAAGGCAATTCCACCAGATTTTTTGAAAAGAAGGATTGTGTAGAAGCTAAAGTAAAAATGGGTATTTATTTATTTGGAAACAAACAGCTAAGTAACATATATCATGGGTGAAGTTAAACATTTCAATGGACTCTTAGCCAATAATAAAGTAAAAATTGCGTGCACCACTTAAATATAGGCAATTATAAATATTATATACTACATACCACTAATTTAGGTACATTGGGTATATTGTGCAGAGTGAAAGTATTCCAAAAGAAAACAACTTACAAAAGCAATCTTGATTTGGATTCACATTTGGACTTTTGGTGACTTGTTTTTTAAAGGCATTTTTTGAGAGGTGGAAGATGAATGTTGAAACTTATGTTTGGATAATTTTGTTTCCAAATTTGAAGTGCCTGCTTATGTTCTGATTATCATAGCTGTTAATCCTCCATAGTATATAATAAATGACTTACTTTTTCTGCCAATAGTTTTTATAGTGTTATTGACTTTGTTTTAACAACAATTCTTTGCACTGGTGTAAATAAAATGTAATGTTCTCAATGTATTGCATAAATACATGTTCGTATAACAATCGGAATTTAAATGCTTTAAGAAAACCGTGCCGTTTACTGAATAACAAGCACAGAATTAATTTCATATAATTAAAACGAAACGAAGTTTAGCGAAACGAGTTTCTCGCTATTGTACTAAACAAAGACCCGTCCTAGGGCCTGATGTATCAGTTCAATATTTATACACACCAGGATTACCCGCAATGGAACATTGTATAGACCGTTAAAGTATTCTGAACAGACTACACAGCTAAAGCCTACCACTTGAAAAGCGATAAAAATCCATTTCGAATGCGCATATTTTCCTGCAAGCCGGCGTCCCACGCGGGCCCGAGACAAAGGCCTGTGAAATTACAGTCTTGCTTTTAAATGCGAGAATGAATCGCAATGTCTCATCCCCTCAAAGCTTTACGAGCTCGTTGTGGAAAACAACGCTGTGTCTCACCCGTTCTTGAATATACAGAAGCTTTGTGACTATATCTTTCATAAAGGTTTGTCAATGATACTAAATAATTAGCTATTTTTAAAATACTAATAATAAATTAATATAATTATTTGTAGTATCGTAATTTACACTTTGCAATGTGTTACGGCGCAAATCATTATCGAAAAAGAAATACAAATAGAATTACTTTCTAGTATTTTAAAACACGTCGCTGGGTTGTAAAGTTTAGCAATAAATCTCACAAGAGAACAGCGCAACAGAGTCGGGCACAAAATAGCACCAGTGCCCCCAGAGTGAAATTAAAACTAATCGTAACTGAATGTACGCGTCTCGCTATACTGGGTAAGTAGGGTTGCGTGATCAGAATACTTGGCATGCATTAGGGCTTTGAATTTAATGCAAAAAAAGCTGATAGAAACAAAACATGTTTAAAAAAAGCATTAGTTGGTGAAACCTCGTCTAGGTTTTTGCCCTAAACAGACCAACCAACGCGAGAGTTTTAAAATGAAGCAAGTTTGCTTTGAAAGTCGGTAGCTTTTCATTTGTAGGATGTGTTGCCTCAAGACAAAACCACCGGGAATTACACTCTTGTTCCTCAAATACGAGCACGAAGCGTAATATCTTTCCCTTTGAAACCTAGGGAAACTCATAAACACGTAGCTTGAATGTGTTTTTCTTTTTACGTTCTGAATTTTTCTATTCCTTTTAATTATTTCAAATAAATAATTAGAAAACTAGTACACTTTTTCTAGTTTACTTAAAAAAAAATAGATTTGAATAGTTCACTGATGGTATACGCGTAATTTAATCATTCGTTCACGCTCCCGAGTTGAATGATACGTTCGTTATTAGTCCTGTATTGTAGTGTCGGGTAACTAATGATACTGCAAACCGCCCTTCATGAAAAGATACTCGACTTTCGTTACGTTTTCATTTCTCATTTGTTCCGTGACCGAAGCGCTTGGAGACAGCAGGCAATGGAGACAAAGTACAGCGAAATTGCGGGGACGACGCTAATGCCACGGGCGGGTCGAGGCTGGACCTCTATTGTACTTTATGTCGCACAAACAAGATGTTTGATGAACCCACATTACGGCCAGTGGATCGAATTAGGCTGGTAATTTATCCTATTGTAGGAGCGGTCACATTGAAAAAGCTGACGACGCAGAACTTTTTACTGTTACTGTACCTGTCAGTAGACATTGGAATTTATAGTATACTCGTTCATATATAAAAACGAAATTACCAGCTATAAAGGTGGGTGACGGACTCGTCTGCTTATATTAATAAAAATATCTTTTGAGAATTTGGTGTCTAATAAAAACGCAGATTGAGCAGATAAATTCGTAGAATAAAGAAAGTCACTTTATAAAAACTTTGTTATTAAGTGCGCATAAATAAAGTTAAAAGTTATCTTCTATAGAAAACAAAAAGTCTTGCTAAGGTTGATCGTCCGATGATGACAAAACGATATTTAAGTTTATATCAAAATATTAACTTACCAGTATTTTGGATTACTCTTGATAAGATTTCGGTGACGTTAATGGTCAAAGTTGAACTGTGAACAAGAAATATTGTTTTTATTTAGTTAAACACAATCGATCGATATTGGTAAGCGGTTACCCGTGCCTATAAACAATGACTTACTATTCATCTCATTCGTGTTGTGCCAATCCTACTTGTACCGTCTAAGTACCTACTATTGTTACGTTAAACGTTCACATAATACATAGCACTTCTTATCTCATCCACCGCTTATGTTGTCTCGAAAATAATACTAACAACACATATTTGGCTCTTTATAATTCAGACAGACTACATTTTTATATTCTTGGTTCTATAGTTGTCTACTACCTTATTAATATGTTTTAAAATTAAAATAACAGATTAATATGTTTAAAAATTAAAATAACAGATTTATTACGTAAAATTAGCAGTTAGTATTTATTGGTTGTCAGATTACCGAGAAAGAACTTTGACACAAAGATAGGTAGAACTGGTTTATATAATAATTAGAGCATATAACAACTGCTGAACAAAGCCTGCCCAAGGAGCGCCAGCCGGTCTTGGGCAGTTCGCATTCATCCGCGTTCATGCCTTCCTAATTGAATAAGTTTTTTTAATGCTAAAACCCGGTACAGGAAGCAACCGTACACCCTTAGCGCTCTACGTTTTCGACAAATATCATATGTAAACACAATGGTATAAAATTATTCATTTTCATTCATTTCGTTCATTTATACATTTATAAGTTTAGTAAGAAAATTTCCAGACAGTTAGAAGACAAATAAATTAAATACAAAATGAGATGTTATAAGTGAGAAATTATGTTACCTGTAATATTCTCCCCTCTCTGCCGTTACTCTTGTTGAGTCGCGGTAAGAACACTCGCTATGAAGTTCCTCATCACCGCGATACGCCCACATGATGAAGCTTCCTTTGTTCGCAGAACCTGTTAAAAATACGCCTGTTATTACACTGACGACTTTTGTTGAAGGACTATTATTTCCTGTGTTATTCGTGATTCGTTAATTCCACTGTTTCGCTATTTAGTTATGCTATAAGAATATACGAGTAGATACAGACCCCAAGCCAAGTAACAATTTTATTAGGTAGTTTGGACTGCCCACAAAGCGCGAGTTTCAGGTATCGACGCCGACCGGTTTGTGCCAATCCTTCCTCTAATTTTCACTTTATCCTATTTTAATATGAAGGAAAAGACAACATCCAATATATAACTGCATAGAGCTGAATTCCTATAGAATTCAGCTCTTTGCAGTTGTTGTTGAGAGAGCTTCGTTCGAGCTTTCTCTTAGTAAGACATTTAGATGTAGAAATGTGCAAGTTGACCCCGTGTTAAGAACGTTGGTAATGCATACGCTACAGAGTAACTTCAGATAATTTATACTTTACCATCAAATTGAACTTACAAAGCCAAAATATAAAAAAGCGACTTACCTACCTATATGACTAAATGTATCGTATAGTCGTTTTGTATGAAAAGACTTCCGTTTGTTCCTTTTTCACTTTCCATAGGGGATGTGAAATACGTGTAATGATTTTTTCTGGTATCCGGTACATTGTGATTGCTCTGCTTTTATTTTTTTATTCAAGAGAAATCGCGGGCGCTTTGTTACAGATATGTTTTTATAGTAAGCAAAATTTTTATAAGGTAACTACAAATAGTTTTGCTATCGCAATCGTCTAGATATGAAAAAAAAGGGAAATAACAATATAGAAAATAAAAAAAATATGTAAAAACACATGAAAATACTTATTTATAACAAAGAGCAATACTCGAGGATTGTTGTGTTTATTTGTTTAGTTTTTATAAACATTTCCTTTCGGCCGGCCTTTTTCTACCACAAAGAATATTTCATGGAAAGCTACCAGTAGGCGATGATGCGAAGGAATTTTTTGATGCTTGGATGTAAATAGTGTAAAGTTGTGAATATTTTAATTACATTCTATTATGTAACGATACATAAGAAATATTTAGAATATTATAAAATATTTAAATTCCTAATAATTTAAACAGAAAAAAAATACTAACTAGCTTTTGCCAATTCCATCCCCTTAAAGGATCATTTCTTAAATAAAAACTCCTATGTCCTTGCCCAGGAATCAAACTACGAGTATCTCTATACCAAATTTCATCTGAATCGGTTTAGCGGTTTAAGCGTGAAGATTTAACAGAAATACACACTTTAGCATTTACAATGATAGTATGGATACTTTCAAGTTACTGAGTTATAGTATTATATGTTACAAAATTATATATGCTCACGTATATTACGATTAGAAAACTCTTTATATTTTGAAGCGTGCATGATTCAAAAGAAATCTTTAAATAGGATTTCTTTTTGAGTGGAGGTATCTTCTATTTATCGTGCACTATCTAAAAGTACACCACCCCGATAGTACCTCTGTAGAAGCATTGCAATTCCCCTTATTCAAAAAGTGAATATGAACAGTTCTACCTCTAAAGTTGTGTATGTCCAGTCCGAGCGTTGAATGAACCCGTCTTTTGACAACATCTGAACATCTTCCTAAGTTTCCAGACTTGACTACTGTTGCATGATTGGGTAAATATGTATATCTAAGATTACTTCCATGTGGTGACGGATTAAGAATACGGAGTGTCACCACCCCTATTCATCCCGTGGGTGTCGTAAGAGACGACTAAGGGAGAAAACTACGCGGGACAAAAGCACTGTAAAGAGAAGCAAAACTTGAAATAAACCCTTTACCGACCCGTTCGGCTAGCATGGTATAGTAGGTCGAAACCTCCTGTCCAAGGAGAGACCTATGTAAAGCAGTGAACTGTTTAAGGATGTGATCGTCTAATATTACTAAAAAACAAGAGCACAATCTTAAAATTATCTCCTAAATGGTGTGTTACTTCAGAAAACTTTTAGTAAAGTTTCCACAGATAAAATTAAAATAAATTTCGGTTATCGCGGTTATAAATAGCCTATGTGTTTCCTCAAGCATCAAAGTATCTCCATACCAAATTTCATCTAATTCGGTTGAGTAGGTATTGATTCTCTATACAAACTTCCACCCCCTTTTCACTCCCTCAAAGGATGATTTCTGAGATAAAAACTACCCTATATCCTTTCTCGGGACTCGGACTATCTCTATACCAAATTTCATCGAAATCGGTTTAGCGGCTTAAGCGTGAAGAGGTAACAGACAGACAGAAAGACAGAGACACTTTCGCATTTATAATATAAGTATGGATTTATTTATGGCATAGGGGGGCAAACGAGCAGACGGGTCACTTAATGGTGACTACCGCTGCCCATGGACAGCTGCAATACAAGAGTCACAAATGCGTTGCAGCCTTTTCAATCCCTTCCCCAGAATCAGGAGAAAGAGAGGTTTGGGCTCCAATAGCCTGACTCCCTTGGTGATTCAGGCTATTGGAGCCCAAGCCAAGCCCACAGCCCCCTCACAGAAAGCCAACACTGGCTTTCTGTGAGGCTATATCACTATGGTTGTGTCGCAGGTTGTGGCTATCCCCTTTGGATTTAGGCACCGGTAACTTTAGTCACTCAGTTGAAGCTACAAAAAAAAGACCTCACATCACACCGGTTGAGCCGGATAATTTGTGGCGCAGCATAACTGTCAATCAGCAGGAATTCTAGGAAAGCGTGTATTCCAATATATTTTCATATAGAACGGCAGATACGTTCGTACTGAAGTCCTTTTAAATTACCCCTTCTAACCTGTAGCCTTCATTAAAGCGAGCTTTGCGTATAAATAGCCAGTCTAAGCCCAGTCCGACTAGACATGTTTGGTTAGCTTATAACAATCAATCTATTCCCCTAAAAGGAAGTAGAATTTCCTTTTACAAAAGTGTCTACAGTGCACCACTTTAACATAGCGTTCTTATGATATAATAAAATAGTTTTATGTTCCATTTTCAAATAGTATCCTATCGATTTTAAAGATATAGGTAGACAAAATAGGAACGCCTTTACAATACCTGACCGGGCGACACAAAGCGTCGCTCAACTTTGACCTATTATAGGATTGAGTAGTACTCAGTCCATAAATATTTAATTCGTGATACCCTTGTCATATATGTCAGTCTGTCACTTGCTTCCCACCTTTTTAGCACTTCTATAAAACGAAAATTGATGTAATTGACGTAACACGTCAAGGTTGTGGAAATTAATAGTAACAACGTTTTAACATTACTTAATAAATACCTTGATATGAATACCGTGTAACAGGCATATCGTGTAACTGATATTTATCTACATACTGGATATTTTTAAGTGACTTCAGAAAAGAAGGAAGCTTTATGTTCAACTTTTTATTTTATTTTTATGTATGTTCACCGATATTTCTTTTATCTGTGGACTAATTTAAAAACAAGTAATATTGCTAATATAAAAACAAGTAATATAACTATCTAAAATACGCATATTTAGTGGATCAAACAAAATTATTATTTTCAGTAGTAGTAACTCGTACTTAAAATTTTTAAGCTGCTTGAAGAGAGCACTCCTTACGCTTGATGCTACACAAAAGTTTATATTAAAATAAAGGTGACTGTCGAATATACGTCATTTAAAGAACGGGCTATCTTGTGTACGTCAGTTATCTTTACAATATGCTTCCATAGAATCAGTAGAAACGATAGTAAGGACTAGTTTTATGTAACCTGAAATACCTGTCTAAGGAAAAAATTACTTTGCTTCTGAGAATCGCACTACAATGACCTGTCATTTAATAAACTGAAGCAATATTTACTTATTTAGCTTACTTTAAAATTAGAGACTACAATAACTTTCAGAACTTCTTTTCCTAAGTAAGTAATCAGACAATGTATTTTATGATCTAGTCTACTCTAGGAGAAACATATCTTCTAGACTAGAACTTATTATTAATATTAATGTGCACAACACTGGTACTATTAATCTTCCATTAGTAAAATAAATGGTTCGTATATGCTTCCAAACTTGAGATTTAAACGTTCAAAGTTAATATTTCTCCTACAGTGTGTACCTAGATGTTGAAGGCTTTTTAAAAGAACCAACTGAATTATTTATAGTTTACAATAAATCCTTTTTTTTTAATTTGAACCGACTTCAAACAACACTGGCAAATGATACTAAAACTAAAAAAAATATAATAAATCTAAGTAAAAAAAACTATAATAAGTACCCTCAATATAACAGGTAACATTATAATAGCAATAGTCCCTTCTAGTCTTTTTAAAGTCGGTGCCAAGCCAAATGAGTGCTTGATGGGCTTGGTAGAATGTAGCGCGACAGCTGCAACAGTTTTCAAGCTGTACAAAACATACTGAACGAGCTAAAGTGGGTTATGCACATCTCCAATGATATTATTATTTTGAATGTATCATTATGAAGTAGTTGACAAATATATTTATTAAGTAGTTGATAGTAATTGATCTGGTTGGTCTTTATTAATTAACAAAATCTGCGATTATTCATTAGAATGATATTGAATTCTTATTTTTTTATTGTGCAAATATAAAGCTGACATAGACCAGTATTACTTATTGTGCATCGGGCTTTTTTTTGTAATTGGAGGAAGTATACCCCTCCAATTAAGAAATACAATTGAAAATCGGTCCACAATTGACCAAGTTACACGCTCAGAAGCGACAGGTTGTAATAGAGAATGATAATTTTATTTGAATACTGCAATAATGTCATTATGGAATAGTCTTCGTAAAAATCTCCAAATATTATGCATGGGCTGTTATGCAATAACAAATTACTAATAATACCTAATGTACGGTATCACCGTTAGGGCATTAGCATGATTTATAAGATACTACTATCTTAACATTGTATGTTTCGATAGTATACGCTAACTACTTGACAGTGACTTAAATATGTATTCCGTAAAATATATATAGTCATATATTTAATGTTACATATTA